TGGCACACCCCTCTTTGATCTCTCTCTAAAATTAGCGTTTAGAAAAGAAAATAAATCCTAAAGAGTGGCACGCCCAAGCCACCATGCCTAGCCCATAGGTACTAGCCTTATGCTCATGTGGTGAGCCTCGGTCTAGTTCATCCGCTGTCATGCTCTCTGCTGGTTTTGCCAAGGTTTTCCAAGTTGTGAAACAAGTTCTGGAACCTAAATCCTATGCATCATTGGTATGGGGACCCGGTGTTGGGTGTACGAAGTCCTTGGGGGTAACTTGAGGTAAGGTATGCTGTATTTTCCTATTTTATGTTCTCATGATTTAATTGCAACATTTATGTAGTTTTCAAATCCATGTCATGAATGTTTTTTTTCTTGAATGGCAAGCAAGTGAGAGTCCTTGGCTTTCTTTTGGTTTATAAAATTGTATTTGAACAATTGTAAGTGATTTGTGTTGTTATACTTTGAAAATGATAGAAAGCTTTTAATCGATATTGACTTGCTCGGATCACATAGTCCACCTGCAACAGAATTGGAAGAGAAATAGAACTTGGGGTCTTCCTAATGGATATGGTGTGTTATCTATCCTTGATTCATGATGGCTGGGTAGGGGAGAATGGCTAAGGTTGGCCCTCTCATACAATGAATCTCCCATTCAAATTCCACGTTACCCGTAGACTACTTCTTACTCTATTCGTAAGGTTCTATAAAGTGATTCCTAATGGTTTCTCTCTAGGGTATCTCGTTGAGGCCCTAGGGCTGTCTAAAATAGAAAGAGAGAAGTAGGCTTAGAGTTTTTGAGTGAGAAGAAAGAGAGTAAATGGAGGTGCCGGAGGTTGAGAGAGTGGCATTGGGTTTCTTCCTAGTTCTTTTTGAAAGATCCCAAGAGTGAGGAAGTGGGCCTGCAACCTGCAACTCCATGGCTGTTTTCTCAAAGAATACAAACTGTATGTATTTTTCATAGTGGGTTTTGGTTAGAGAAAGAGAGAGAAGGTGAGGCAAGCGTGAGGCATTGAGTGTTCTTCTAATTAGCTTTGTGGAGAAGTCCAGAGTGGAGGAAGGGCCTGCTACCTAGAATGCCAAACCTGTAATATTTTCAACCAAAACTTAGTAGAAAGGGTACTTTATAGCAGGTATGCTGTTGATCTTAGGGCGATTTCATCGGTCGTACTAAGTCTTAGGTGGTTACACTATGCAACTCTGGTTTGCTGATTTTTTTGCAATTGGACTATTGCTGGAGCACCATCTTGGAGCTGTGGCTATAACTTTTACTGGTACAAGGTATTTTTTTCCTTACTTGTTCTTCACTCTAGCGTCTTTCTATAAAATTTTAGAGTGGAAAAGTGTACCCCCTCAAAAGTGTACCCCCTCAAAAGGGCTTTTTTTTTTGTAAAAATAATTATTTTTATTGGTAGCTTAATCATCGAGGGTATGTTAGAAATTCCTCAAATGCAAAATGGTTTTTGAAAGCAAGTCTATGAACTTGATTAGTACAAATACTCTTGTCCTTTAGTGAGATGTTCAACAATATTCTTATGAAAATGACAGAGGTAAATTGTCTCCTTGTGATAATTAAACATGTACTTACATATATACGCATGAATGTATGTATGCACACATGCATGTATGTATATTCTAACTAAAAAAGCCCTCTAAATGAGTCAAGTTGACTTGGGTGAGTTTTTTTGACTTGGAATGAGCTTCTGTTCATTGATTTTGTGACTTGAGAGAACTTTATGTTTGGGAATTGGGAAGACTGGTATGCAAAATTATTTAGGCTTTGTTTTTTGTGATTATGGGTTTTGTGTTAGTTTTGCTAGTTGTTCTCATTGGCGGTTTAGGGACAAAGATAAGAGTGTCATGGTCCCTTGCTTGACATTTCAAGCTAAAATGTGACAAGCATATGGCAATTTGGGGCTGCCTATGAAGGGAGGAAATATTGGGGTTGAGTCTTGGTGTATTGTTGGTGGTATTGGGGTTATGGGGCCATTTAAAGGCCTTATGAGAGCATGTACTGAAAGCTTCTTATAGCCATATGATAACTCCAGTGGGAGCGTGGTTCGGATGGACAATGAGGTATGGTCTGGATGGACTGCATGGCATTGCTAATGCCATGATTCATCTGAGTTTTGATTGGCTAGGATTGGGATGATGTCTAGAACCTGTAGCCCTGAGCATACGTGCACAACCAATAAGGGTTTTTTTGTGGGGTTATCGCATTGATGAGGTCAGAAATGTGCATAGGATTGTTGGCTAGGGGACTAGATGTGATATGTGTAGTGTTTGACCGGAGAGGACAAGGGCCAAATACTCATTATTACCATCACAAGGCATGTACACTAGATAGCCGTCTGTGAAGCAGACCTTTGAGGGCATGTTGCGTACATGTGGCGAAGAGATGTCTCCCTGCAACACTGGATTATGTTGGAAGGACCCATGAGGTATTGTGCTAGAATGGGACATGGACTTGTCCTTAAGGAGGGACCTATAATTCATGGACTAAGATCGTGTCTCTTTCATTTATTGGCTTACTTTGATAGTCCAAGCATGAATCTTTGCGATGGGTTGTCGATCATGGAAATTGTTGGGTCAGTTTGAGAATATGACAGTGGGATACGGTTTTTAGAATAGATGGAAGTCCTTAGTATATTTGTGTTATTCCTAACTCTTTGGATCTAATTCCCATCAAATTTATTTTAATATGTTTAATTATATTTTATTTGTATTTTAGATTATTGAAATGAATTTTTCTCTGGATATTTTATTTTGGCTAAAAGAAGTTTTAAATAGGGTAAAGTGAATTTTCTGGATTTATTTATTTTAGAGAAAAAAAAAATATTTATTGATTTCTAAAAATTATTTTCATTAATTTAAAATTAACTAGAGGTTGTGGGGGTCCATTGGAGTTCTGGGCCCACCACAAAGAGGCCCAGACATGGGCACCGTGGGGCTCACAAGGGGCCATACTAGGTGGCACTCCCCACCTCACTCCTTTCTCTATGGAATGGCTTGATGAGCAAGCCTTTTAGAGAGATGTTGAAATAAAATGGAAGGTGTTTTGAAATTGGAGGATTGTTATAAGAAAGGGAAAGTCTAGAGATTGATGGAAATCAAATAAGTAAATTTATATTACTTTCTTTAATTTAATTTCATGGGAATAGGTTATGGAAATTGAATGATAATGGTTCTAGCTCATTCCTTTGATCATGGTGGCTGATTTATGGATTGAAGGGTTAAGATCTCTTTACCCCATAGGTCTCAAAGGTCTACTGTCAAGATTAAGTCTCATAATGATGGCAAAACCGTAGACCCCAAAACCCTAGCCCTACTCTATAAATATTCTTTATGGGGGATTCTCTACACTTGAGAAAAGGTTGGCCTCTCGCCTTTTCTCTCGACAGGCAGGTATGCCCCATTCTCTCTACTCTCTTTTCTCTCTCATCTCTCTCTCTTTAGGGTTAAGAAAAAGAGAAATAAAGAGGGGGCCATGCCCTATCCTTAAAAGGGGTGGCACACAGAAGCTTTCATAACCTTAGATGTTGAGAAAGGCCCATATCCTATACTATGTCATACTTTCATCCTTGAGCAAGGGGTTTGCTTAGGCTTCACGAATTGTGAGACAAGGTTAGGACTGAGATTCCGTGCGCCATCAGTGGAGGAGACCTAGTGTGGAGTGTACGAAGTCCTTGGTGGTAACTTAAGGCAAGTTACTTGGTAATTCTAATGGCTCCATGTTTCTTAATTCAACTTCAGCCATTGTATTTTGTTTGATTGTAATGAATTATAAGAGATGATCCTAGATTGTATTAGGGTTTATTTTTGTAAATTAGTGTTGTATTTTGGACATCTGTATGTGTTCTGCAGGTATGAATAATAGAAAGAAGAAAAATTTCAATTGTATATACTTGGCTAGATCATTTTGTCCACCTTTCAGATGGTCACTTAGGTTAACTTATGGTGCATGTTGATTTTATGTTTTCTCTTTTAAGACATTGAAGATCATGCTGATGCATTGGATGGGTGAAGAGTGGGAGTGACTTGTTCATTTGAGTGCAATAGGGTTGTAAATTCTTAACATAGAACTGGCATTGCTATTATGTGGCATAAAACCAAGAAGGGCAATTGTTTGGCTGAGATGTTGACCACATTGGCATTGAGTGGCAATTATCTTGGGATTTGGGAAGGGCTCCAGAGGGTTATAGTAGTGGTTTTTGATTGTTATATTTCATGTGCATTTAGTACGGTGGCTTTCTTTATTGTCAATGTTTGCTTAAGTATTTATGCATAGACATTCCTGAGGCTGTATGCGTGTTGCATAAATGTTAAAGGGAATGCAAACAAATCTTAAATTTTGTGTAGTTTTTTGCTTCTGGGAGAACTTACTATACTTCCCCACCCATATATGTTTTTCCTAGATCCCCCATCTCCCAGTCGTCCTATCTGAATGGATGGTTGCGATGACTTCAATCATAATGTCACAAATGAGCCACTGACCATAGGATCTTAGATTTGACGTCTCAGAATATTTTATTTTAATTTCTTTTACTAATCATAAGAAGATGAAATTTGGTACTTGTCAATCATCTCAATGGGCGCACCTGCAATAAAAATATTCTCGATAAAATAAATGATCAAAATAACCCTTGAAATGACCAAAATACCCCTGAAACCCTGGAATGACCAAAATACCCCTAAAACTTTCAGGGGTATATCTGTCATTTTATTTTTTCAGGAGTATTTTTTGTTTAGATTTTTTGCAGGTGCGAGTTTAAGGGAAAAAAAAGATTAAAAATAAAACAGTGTATAGGCGTGATATTTTGATTTGGGCCATCTCAGCCGTCCATTCAGATTGGACGGCTGGGGGATGGGGTATGTGGGAAAAATATGTGGGTGGGGAAGTATAGTAAGTCTTCCCTTTGCTTTTTCGTCTAAACTTTTCTTCCTTAAAAAACCACTTTGCTTTTTAATTTATGTTCATATAGTCAATTCTAATTGTTGTTTTACTATAGTGAGGCATTTTCAGAGGATGATTGGAAATTGGTTCAGCTGGTGCTTACTTTGTTTCGGAATCTTCTATCTATCCATGAGATTTCTCCGCAACAGCAGGCGTCTGGATGCACAAATCAGTTTTTGTGTTTGAGAGATGGATTTCTGGAGATCTTATTTAGCGAGAATGTTATGGACCTGATCCTTGTTCTAACCCAACATATTACTGATTTTCATGGCTATATTCATCAAGATAAGTTGCTTTTATTGGAGATTTATCACTACATCTTCTTGCACCAAAAGCCGCAGCTGGTTGCGAAAGTTTCTCAGAAGAACCAGGTGGTTTGCTTTTGGCTTTTCCTTATGTTCATGCTATGATCACTCTATATAAAGTTAAATACCGCCATGCAAACGAATCTTTAATTGATTAAATCTTTGTATTTTGCAATTGGGGCCCTGCACAATTGGAAAACATTGTTATTAAGTCAATCTGATGAAATCAGATGTTTGTTGATGTCTTATTTCTTAATTAGTCATCAAATCATTAAATTGTATATTGTTCTCTTTCACTAATTATATGCCACCATTTGCATTACGCAGAGTAAAGGTGAAACATCTCCAAGTTCTTTTAGATCAATAAAGGAGGAAGAAGAAAAGAGGAGGGTCACTAGATCAAAAAATTTGATTCGACATTCTCTTTTCAGTGGAACTTTTGTTCGGCTAGCTGTTGTATGAGATTTCTCAACTGTTTCTTATTGGTTACTTTTCGTATGAAAAGAAAAAACAGTTAAGATGTTACTTGGAAAGTCATTGAAAAGGTCTGCTCTGTTGATTTTAATTTGCATTGTTTACATCAGGATGGTTCTAAGATGTTAATAAAAGGGAATCCGGTCACAGTTCCTGTTGAGACTCTGCTCGAAGCTCATAAGGTTCCACGGGGTCCATTGAAGCGAATAATATGTGACAATGGAAGTTCATCTGCATCAAACGAGAATGTTCTTTGGTTGCTTCATAATTTTGCAAACCAGTTCTTATCTCGAGGTTATAATGGTAAGTGTTTCCCTTACATTTTATCTTGGGCTCTTTCATGCATTATTTAGTTTCGCATTGGGCTCCATTGTATGAGATTTTAGATTTTTAAAAAGGTCATGTAATGTTTTTTTTTGCTATGCGATGATATAAATCTTTATCAGTTTTGATGGAGTCCATTCGTGAAGACATCGAAAAAGAGCATCATGCAATTCAGAATAGTGATGTTGTTATTTTCTTCCAAGTGGTTCAGTTCTTAATGGCGTTTCAACGTCACAAGTATGCAAATTCAAAGGTCAGATCCCATTACACACACACATTCTTAGAAAGTCACCCCAGAAATGCATCTGTTAATCTTATTTTTTTCCAAGTTAATTAGTGTGTGGCCTGCGAGTGAGACAGCTTCCACATTTTGCAGTCTTACAGAAGTTTCATCCACGAATTCTCCTGCTTGTTGTAGGGCATGTTTAAATTGATCATGATGTTTTCTTGTTTTAATCCTGAAGATAACAAGTTCCCTCTTTTGCATTGTTTTTGGAGGATTTTAAAAACTCTTAAAAATAAGTCATTCTCCAATTCTAATAGAATAAACAAATTATACTAATCTGCAGCTTATAGAATGTGTATTGAATTACATGCTGGACCTTTGTTTTCTTTTGTATCCTGGTCATTGATGCTTCTGCGGCTTTTAATAATTTTTGTGTTTTATTGTCTCCGATTCATTTTGGTATAATTGATTAATTTTCAAATCTAAGTCTAATGTTTAGGTAGTTTTCACTTCGAGCTTTCTGATTCAGTTTTGAGTATGATTAGAACACATATTGTTGGATTCTTATGTTAAGTGAAGCATAAATCTTGCTTTTGTACTCGGGATTTTCTGTTGGTGCATTTATTTTTCCATTTGATTTGAGATCTTTAATCTTACTTGAATTCTTTCATTTGATTTGAGATCTTTAATCTTACTTGAATTCTTTCTATCTTCAATACACTGTTCTTTCTTATTTACCAGTGGTACATCGTGAGTGAATGAAGAATGAACCCCATAATGCAGGTAATGATGAAGGCAACTCCGTCTAAAAATTTGCCAATCAGTCATGCTGCAGATGCAAGGGAATTCTATGGGGACATTTGTGGACCAATTGCAGCAACAATGAATGAAGCCATGTTTGCGTTAGTCATGTCAAAATGGCATTATTCTTTTGATGGTGTGAAAGAAACAAACAACTGGAAGTTTTTAGCAGTCACTGGATCTCTTATGAAAGAAATGGTGATTATGATTTTCTAACTGGAAACTTTGAATGTTGATATTGTATACATGGCCCTTTGTGTAGGAATGTGTTATTTTATATACATGTTTCTGTAAATCATTGTAAAAATTTGCTGATTGTCTAATCACAGCTTGACTTTTCATTTTACTATTCACAGAGTGGTCATCATGATTGTCAGTGTGTGAGGGCTGCCATTATTATCCATGGGCGTTATCATTTAATGGAGCAACCTGGCATATTGCTTTATTTAGCTCCAGTGGGTGTATATATGACTTTCACGCTTTTAATGTGTGATGCACCTTTTCTGTAGGCATTTCTCATATCTATATCCATTTGTTTCCAATCTATTTAACTCTAGAATGTTTAATTGACTGTGACGTTGTATGGTAGAGCAGCATGATTTACTAGACAAGGCACATCTGATTATTCAAATGATATCCATTTTATTGTAATAATTCATCTTGTTATTATGGGTATTAGCTGGAAATCTGACTTGGGCTTGATTGTTTAATTGCTGGTCATTGCAAGACGGCTAGACCACATTCCACGTTTGATTCCAAATCGCTGAACTACCCAAAAAGAAAATACAGATATGAGCTGCTCAGATCCAGTTGCCTTAGCAGTTGAATTTTCTTTTTGTCATCATGTGGTCCCACTGGTCTGTTGGACTTAATCCTCTCATCATGTTGGACAATTAGTTGCAAACTGTATTTGTATTGAATTTTTATTATGACAATTTGTACACAAAATTGGTTGTTTGTTATTGTTCATGCGCAGTCCCCTCATATCAGTGATATGCATGTCAATTGATAAGAACATTTTCCAGTCCATCTTCTGCAAATAAGTTTTTATGTTTCAAACTCTCTATTCTCATTTTGCTACTGATTGAGTTTTGTAGGAGTTTCAGCATTCCTCAGTGACTTGTCCTAACTAAAGCAAATGATTGGATAGTTATCAACTAACACATGGATGCCTGCCACAAGGCAAGCTGATAAAGTAATGGTTTGTATCATGCCTACACAGGAATTATTTTCTTCACAAGCGACACTCACAGGAGTGATCACATGGTATTTTGACACTACAAAATCTAGAGGAAAGAAGCGTACAAAAAAATGGATTCAACCACACAAACAACCCTAAAAGAATCCAATGGAAGCTTTAAATAAGAGAAGATGACTTTGCCATGGACGAGTCCTTCCAGGGAGCTCGTCTTGATACTTCATTTCTTTGTCTAAAATTTCTTCATACAAAACAACAAATCATTGACCTTGTTCATCAGATCCAAAACTCTTTTTTGTACATCATCATCGTCAAATCCTTTTCTCATCTAATTGGGGTCGGCTTCACGAATCCTGGTTTGCCATTCTGCTCTATTAAGGGCAATATCATACCTTCAGTGAGGTCATAAGTTCTCATATCTTTTCTCACTACTTCTAACAATGTTCTTTTGGACCTAACCTTTGCCTTTTTTGAGCATTCCAATTGAACTAACTCGTACCTCTTAACAGATGCTGTGCTAGGTGTGCTCTACACATGGCTAGCTTACTTAAGTCTACTCTCTCATCTTATTGCCTATTGGTGCCACACTTAAATTTTCTCGATTGTATTCATTACGAATTCTATCCCTTATTGTCTTGCCACTCATCCATCTCAACATCCTCATCTCCGTTACACTCATTCTATGGGTATGTTGTTTTTTGACCACCCAACGTTCCGCCCCATAGAGCAAAGCTGGTCTCATAGCTATCTAATAGAACTTGCCCTTCAACTTCATTGGTATGCCACGATCACATAAAATTTTGGATGTAATTTCCTCCTCGTCCACCCAGTTCTAATTTTGTGTGCGACATCTTCCTCAATCTCTCTATTTTTCTGGATCATTGACTCAAGATATCGAAAGTGCACTCTTTTTAATATTTCCTGACTGTTAGTCTTAACTACTTCTTCATTTTACTCCTATTATTATTAAACTTGCATTTCATATACTATGTCTTAGCCAGACTATTTAAAACCTTTAGATTCTAGAGCATTCTTCCAAAGTTATAACTTTGTGTTGACACCGTTTCGGATCTCATCGATCAAAACTATGTCATCTACGAAGAACATGTACCATGGTACCTCAAACGAAGAACATGCACCATGGTACCTCAAACGAAGAACATGCACCATGTACCTCATCTTGTAGGTGTCTTGTTAAGTCATCCATAAGACAAAGAGGTACGAGCTCAATACCGACCCCTGATGTAGACCTATTATCACTCATCTCTCCATTAGTTGTTCGTATACTAGTTAGCATTCCATCGTACATATCTCTCACCAAGGCGATGTAGTGCCTAAAGGCTCCTTTCTTTTCTAACACCCACCAAATCTAATATGAAGGTACTCAATCGTAAGCTTTCTTTTTTTTTGAGAAATGTTAAATTTGTAATTAAATAGAAATGATACATTTGGTTATAACCTAAAGGCGACACTCCCACAAGTGCTCAGACAAATAGCAGTAAGAGAAGAGGGAGAAAGCGGGAGAGGTACGTAGTCAAAGAAAGAAGGAAGGAACAAAAAAAAACGGATTAAAAGGAACTACAATATTCGACAATCTCCCAAAAAAATTGTGGATCGAGACTTTGCTTTTGACCAGCGAGCTTTCAATTGCCTTCATAAGCTGCCTGCTTTGGTGCGAGCTAAGCAGCCGACATTATGAGGTGAAGCAGCTCGAAGAGGTAAAAAGGGGTGATGTTGGTGAGGTAATAAGGATGTGGAGGCAAGATAGAGAATAAGCGGAGATATTGTGGTGCACAATTGGGGCTCCGGCTACTGGTGAGAGGCTATCCAGCAGACGTTCCTCACCCTGAAATCCTTTGAAACTGATCGGGGTTGTAGTTTATCCCATTGTCCAATTTCGTTTTGCCCCAAACTTGCCCATCACCTCTGTTTCGTTTTTATCTTGGTCTGTCACTAAAAAACTGTCACACCGCTATTCCGATTGTCGAAGGAGGAGCCTTCAATCGTGTGTTGTAGTATGAAGACAGCTACCACTAGGTGACAAAAGTAAAAAGAGAGGAAGAGAGGAGAGGAGAGGAGAGAACTGGGAGAAAAAAGAAGGGGTGAGGTAGCCTCTATTGCATGAGGCAAACTCTGGTCTACTGTAAGAGAAGAGAGGAGAGAGAGGAGGAAGGGATATAAGAGATGAGAGGTGAGAATAGAAGAAATTAGAGGAGAGAGAGTACATAGAGTACTCAAAATGAAAAGAGAGGGAAAATAGAGAACATGCGGGGACATAAAACTGTCCCGAGAAAGAGCTAGCTGCTAGTGGCTACGAGGTGCAATCTTTGGTCTGCTATTAGAGTAGAGAAGATAAGAAAGAATAGATGAGAGAGGGGAGAAGAGGGGAAAGGAAAGAATAAGGAGAGAGTACAAAGAGTACTCTAAGCAAGAAGAAGAGAAAAATAGAGAAAATGTAAAATAGAGAGAAGGAGTCTTGAGAGAGAAGTAACTGCTGTCATCACTAAAGATATAAGGTTCGGGCAACAATAAGAGATGCGTAGGGAAGAGGGGTTTGATTGATAGGAGGTGTATTAGATTGAAGGGATTTGGTGTATTCGGGTATAGGGAGAATTGTGGTTTGAGTATAGAAGAGGAAGTTGAGTGGGTTGGTTAGAGAGAAGGGCAGTTAAAAGGTTAGAGAGAGAGGGTTTAGGTGAAGGAGAGAGAGAGGTTTCAGGGGGGGTATGGGTGAATAGGTGCTTACCTTGTTAAGGGATCTCCTGCTGAGAAGGTCTAGCCAAAGAATGAACTGTTGAAGGGACAAAGACTGTGGTGTGGAGAAGTACCATTCTTTGCTCGAGCAATTCAGCCGTGGCTACGAGTATATAGTACCGTTGCAGAAGCTATAGGTTGAGGTGACGTGCGGGGAGAAGAGTGCCACAACCGAGCCCTCCACCAAAAAAATTCCCTTCTTTTTTTTTCCCTCCCATATCTGGCTCAGTACAACCATAGAACAAAGATAGAGGAGAGGAGGAAGAGATAGAATAGAGAGAGAGTGGAGAGGTGAGGTTGAGAAAGGGGCAAAGAAGAGAAAGAAGAGATGAGATAGAGGGAGAATCCAGGTTTTGTAGCTATCTGAGTTGGCTGATTGGGCTTACTGACCTTTGATTGCTCACGAGCCCCTCTTAACACCCTCCTTGGCTAATCGATCTGCCACCGAATTTGCTTCTCTGTAGATATGGGTGAGGGATACCTAAGGAAGGGAATTACATAAGAAATAAATGTGCTTGAAAATAGCTGAGAGCCTCCAGGGAGGCTGGTGCATCTGTGTGGCCTAGCAAACGGTGTTGAAAGAGTCTGATTCCACTATAATGCCTTGTACTGCTGGTGCCAACTCAAACAATCTTTTGAGGCCAACCAGAAGGGCCATAACCTTTGTGAAACTAGAATTTCGATGCCCGATGTATTATGAGAAGGTCCAGTTGGTAGAATTCGGATCCGATAATGTTCCTCCTCTGCCCAAAGGGCTTGGGTTGCCTAAAGAGGAACCATCTACATTTAGGTTGAGGAAACCTATGGGAGGGGGGGACCATAAGGGTCTAGGTCTGTTCGCTTGGGCTGCAAGGAGAAAGAGACACTCCCAGTCTTTTAGAAAATGAGAGATGGGCAAGGTAGAAAAGATGGGAATGGATTTGGCCCAGAAGGCTATTTGTGCAGTTATAGAGTCAAAAGCTGCCTTTATAGTTTTCTGTACCCCTCTGAAGGTCCTGGAGTTTCTTTCTAGCCAAAGACTCCAAAAGTGGTTGGCAACAACAAGGTGCCGTAGTTTTCTACCATTTTTGGAGAAGGGAGGTGAGAAGTAGGTTTTGAAGAACTGGGTCAAATTAGTTGGGGTGACCCATTGTAAACCAAACAGCTTAAGAAGGGAATACCAGAGGCTCTGAGACACATCACTCTGGAGAAAGAGGTGCGTGTAGGGGGGGGGGGGGGATAGTCTCCTTTGCTTGGAGACAGAATGCATCGATCAGGGAATGCAAGGCCCCTCTTTTTGAGTTGATCAAGGGTGAGGGTTTTTCCATGTAAGAACCCAAATGAATGCCTGAACTTTGTGAGGTATGGTTAAGGACCAAGTTAGGTTAATGAGGGGGTTGGGGTTGGGTATAAGGGAAGTGTAGAAAGAAGACACTGAGAATGAACTTGAGGGGGCTAGGGACCAGATCAGAGAATCTGGTCTAGACAAAGTACTAAAGCAGCTTTCTAAGGTTTGAAAAAGGG